TGGGATGGACGGGTTGTCATACAAGGAGAGGCTGCAATCTCTCAAATTGTTTTCTCTTAGAAAAAAGATAAGTTAGGTGATTGAGGTGTTTAAGATTGTAAAGGGAACTGATAGTGTTGATGTATCATCCTTTTTTATATTTAACAATGAGAATAGTAGGACTAGGGGACACAAATAGAAATTTTGGCAAGGTAGGAGTTATCTTAACTTCGGCTAAGACAGTTTTATTTTTCTGACAGAGTGGTTGGCCTTTGGAATGGGTTGCCTTCAGATGTTGTAGAGGCAGTTAATTTAAGCGAGTTTAAGAAAAAGCTTGATAAGTATGTGAGTGAAGAGGGTTTAGTTTAAAATTTTACTATTATTATTTCTTTTTTTATCATTTTAATTTAGTTTTGAGGATGGAACAGCTGAGATGGACCAATAGGTCCCAATGTTGTCCTAAAATATTATATTGTTAAAAACCTTTTCTATATAAGCTGACATGTAGCTTCCAAATTCTGCATATACATATATATTAGTTTCATGATTGTATAAACTAATACTTTCCCAAATAATGTACTTTATCAAACAGTCTTGAAAACAAGTATTACAAACTTTTAGCTACATAACCACAGATAAACTTTAGTTTTCCAATTTACCAAGATGGAAATCTACATGTAACCTTGATTCAATATACAGTAGCAATACTGAGTAACAAGATCTTTTTTTTATTTGAAGTGAATCAATTCTAATGCTTGATTTTAAAACTAAAGATAATTTTACTTGTAGGACTAACTTTTTAAAGCATTTCTTAAGGGTGAATTGATTATTACTTAACATCAAGAAAAAAAGGCAAGTATTAATACCTGTTTAGATACAATGCAGAGTTTACAATTTGTTTAAATACTCTAAATGAAGATTCAAGTTTGTTAAATTCTAAACTGGATTGTGATAATCATTATTTGACTTGCACAAAAAGCTTTAGTGAGAGGAGACACATGATCAAGGTTCAGGCTCTGTTTAACATGCAAAGAATCATGTTACACTTGACATTATCTTTTATGAAACAATAAACCTTTTGTACTTGTATCATGGATTAGTACATGTGGTGACAATGTACTTGTCTGTAATGACAAATCAAAATGCTAATTAAAAATGTATCAAACTACTCCTAAAACAACCCCGTAAATATTATACTGATACTAGTAATAGATACCACCACACACAAGAAAAGCTCAGTCTTAAAGAGAAACATAAATGGTGGTAAAAATCCCATTCAATACTACTTATCTAATCTATGACTAATATGGGTGTTTTCAAAGAAAACTTTCTAAAGCTTTATTTCACTTCAATTTCATATGCCAAAGTGACAGAATTAAGTTACTTGAAAAGTTTTTCTGCTCCATTCCTCATCATCATCTGTTTGTTGATTTCTTGATTTAATTTGGCTCTGCGATGTTGGAGCTTGCCCCTGCATGTGGCTGCTCGAGGATCTGAGCCCTATCAATATATAAAATATGTGCTAAGTAAAAGTTCAAGTTACATAAATGTACTTTCCAAAATATTGGGTTCTAGTAGTGTGAAAAACAAGCACAAGTAAAAACTGAAATATTATGCAAGTATCTACTTTACAGATATTTGAGTGATGTTAGTATAAATACAGGCTGAAGTGAAAAGTGCTACATACCAATATAGAGATTAGATAGAAAAGTACCTATAAACTATGGAATTTGTGAAAAAAAAAAAAAAAAAAAAAATTTCTGATACGCACACAAAATTGCCATTAAAACATTGGAAAGAAGGTAGCCAATTCAATTTTCTATAGAAGAAACTAGAAAGAAAAAAACCTATAAACTAAGGAATTTTTAAAAAAAAAAAAAAAAAAAATTTTCTGATACGCACACAAAATTGCCATTAAAACACTGGAAAGAAGGTAGCCAATTCAATTTTCTATAGAAGAAACT